CTTGCCTCGCATCACATGGAATTGTGGTGACTGGCTCGTCGCTCCGCACCATGTCGTTCCACAAGACATTCAAGATCAAGTGATTCCTTGTCAAGAAGCAAAAACAGAACCGGCCCATCCCACGGTGGATATGCATGAAAACTGGCAATAAGATCAGGTACAACTCCAAAAGGAGACGTTGGCGAAGGACCAAGCTGGGCTTGTAAAGAGCTGCTCTAATGGGAACTCTAATGACACGTGTCTTTCCAGCCCCAAGACCTGAAATACGCATTGCTACAAAAACTACCACTGACTCATTTTGGAGTGTTGAATCTTGTTGTTTTGCCCCCCCCCACCCCCGCACCCCTAAAAACAAAACAAAAAAAATCACATGGAATTCTGTGGCAGAGGCAGGGATAGAATCCAATTATTCAGTGCAGCATTCAATTGTCATAACTGGGGGACTGTACTTTCTCCTCTCGTGCAATTCCCTTCCTCCTTCACTACACACCTTCCAACTTCTGTAACAAATGAAGCAAGGGTCCTACACACAATGGCCTCATTCATTACGCAGCTCTGATTCATCCACAGATCACAGCCTATCCTGTGCACTGAATGAGACAGTTCTGTGAAAAATATAGTATGTAATCATAATAAAAAAAAGATTGTGTCATAATGCATATGTACAAGGGCTCAGAATAAAGGTTGCACAGCCAATATTGTTAAGTTTTCGGGTTGCAAAGGTGATAAGAGTTTTCTGTTACAAAAGTAATATTCTTTATCTCAGTGACAGTCCTGTTCTGTCTTTGCATGGCAGTGGACACAGTTATACAGTAGGACTTATCCATTCCTAAATGGTAGGATTCTACCAGTATTATCACCTAAAAGACCATGAATAAAATGTTTTATCTTGTCAAGTATCAGGGTAGCCGTGTAAGTCTGTATCCACAAAAACAACAATAAGCTTATGCCCAAATAAATCGGTTAGTCTTTAAGGTGCCACCAGACTCCTTGATGTTTTATATTGGACTTCATGGTCATATTAACCTCAGACATTTCAAAGTTCTGATACAGAACTTGGATACAGGGAGCTCTCAGACTTGACTATTTTTAAAGGATGGGGGGCGGGGGCACACAAGCTATCACAGATTGCTTTTCGGCATTTTGAACTTCCAACTTAATCTTTTTCTCGAACATGAATAATTTCTCTCTTCCCTTTCCAGTGTTAAAATCAGGCACTTATAATGTTATGAAATGAAAGTGCTAAAAGAACCTTGGAGTTGAGAAACTTTGCTGCACTTTTACCATATAAAGTCCTAGAAATATGAATATTTTACATCCCTGTATCATAAGAACGGCTATACTGGGTCAGACCAATGGTCCATCTAGTCCAGTATCCTGTCTCCTGACAGTGGCCAACGCCAGGTGCTTCAGAGGGACTGAACAGAACAGCCAATCATTGAGTGATCCATCTTCTGTTGTCCACTCCCAGTTTCTGGCAGTCAGAGGCTAGGGACACCCCTATCCTCTGCTGGGTGCAAATAAATAGCATATAGTAGCATGTGGCAGAGATTTAATTATTTGTATGTGTGAAATGTAGCCTTCATATTTTGAGATTTGAATAAAAATTCCTCCTCCTCCTCTGTAAGTAAATTCAATGTTTTGGTCTTCCTTTCACCTTATCCTCCCCAGCCCTCTCAATTTCTGCATTTGTCTTGATCCGCTACCTTTTGTTCTGTAGCCTTTTCATGTTTTCCCCTATGAGTTTTCTTCCTCTCTTCATTTTAATCTTTCCCGTGCACTTTTTGTCTCTTCCACCTTTCCTTTTTTGAGGTGGGTTTTGTAACACTGCCTACAGTTACTCAATAGTGTTATTACCAACTTCAGGGCAGACCATTACGAAGCAGGGCACAATCCCTAAATTGGTTGTGAGTTCTCTATTTAGATTGCACCAATCAAATATCAAAGCACTATATATAAGGCTGCGAGTCTGTCATGGAGGTCACAGAAGTCATGGATTCTGTGAATTTCCGGGACCTCCATAACTTCTGCAGTGTCCAGTGCAGCTGGCCTGGGAGCTGCCTGAGCAGCTCGGGCAGCCCCCATGTCAGCCGCGCCGACTGCTGCTGGAGCAGTCTTGGGCCATCACGCCCCCCCCCCCCCCCCCCCAGCAACAGCAGCAGGAATTTGGGTGTGGGAGGGGTGAGAGCTCTGGGCGATGCTTACTTCGGGGGGCTTCCAGAAGCGGCGACATCTCCTTCAGCTCCTACGCAGAGGCATGGCCAGGTGGCTCTGCACACTGCCTCCGCCTGCAGGCACTGGCCCCGCAGCTCCCGTTGGCCGGGTTATTTCCAGTCCCACAGGACCAGTCACTTACTTGATGTCGTTGCACCTTAGATTTCAGTCCAAAGACAGGGCTTGTAGCTAATCCTGTAATAAACTATATGAAAATTTATTAAATAGGAAAAGGAAATGAGATATTTACAAGGTTAAAGCAGGTAAACCTAAGTACATAAATGAGTTACAATCTTAAAGTTTCAAAAGGAAATACAAGCCTCTTTAGTAAGGAAGATCTCTATGTCTTTTGGAGCTAACTCAGGCTAAGTAGCTGGGGTTCTCTTGCTTATGCCTAGAAAAATCCCCCCCCCCCCCCGAGTCCAAGCAGTATAGAGATAATTGGTTCCATCTTGTTAGGGGTTTTTATACCTCTCCTGCCTTGTGCTGCAAGCTCAGCAGATGGGAAGAATCCACTTGCATGACTCGTCTACGTGGGGGTGGGTTGAGGGGAGAGCAGAACAAACATCTTTTGTCTTCTTTAATGTCCCACAGTACTCCATCAGGTATTAATGGACCTTTCCTGTTAGGAAGGCCATAACACTTTCTGTTGAAGGTCAGCATGTCACACTAATTAATGACTCTCTCCTGTCCACAAGAGACAGATCTTCCAGGGAAATGGGACCAAGGCTGTGGAACTTGCTGCCATAGGAAAAAAGAATGGCCACCACCCCCTGTACCACAATCAAAACTGAATTCAAATCCTGTCTCATTGACGTAGCTTGCCTGCAATAACCCTCTGTAAGATGACAGCATTCTCACACTTTAATACATGTATAAAGTCATATTGGTGGGATTGTTTTAAGCATCTTTATTATGTCAGTACTAAAAAGAGAGATTTGTGTACTGATGCAGTCACAGCAGTGAAATGAGGACAGATACATGCATAGAATTAAACAGCAGGCCAGAACATTTATTAAACTTTAGCACAGGGGAGGTCAACCATACTCTCCTACACCAGGCATTTAATTGGTTCCAGTGCAGGGTTTACAGGGCTTTTTTACCACATAACCTATAACTCGGGGTATCATAGAACATAGGGTTAGAAGGGACCACAAGGGGCATCTAGTCTAATCCCCTGCCAAGATGCAGGATTTGTTGTGTCTAAACCATCAAAGACAGATGGCTCCATCCAGCCCCCTTCTGAAAACCTCCAGTGAAGGAGTTTTTATTTCCTCCCTAGGCAGTCTGGTCCTTTCTCCTACTGTTCTTACTGTTAAATTAAATCTCAGGAACAATGTCCTAAATCTGCTGTGCTGTAATTTGAACCCATTGCCTCTTGTCCTCCCTCTGTGGCAAGAGAGAACAAATTTTTTCCATCTCTTTTATGGCAGCCTGTCAGGTATTTGAAGATTATTATCATGTCCCCACCTCCCCCCTTAATCGTCTCTTTTCCAAAATAAACATACCCAGTTTCTTCAGCCTTTGCTCATATGGCCTGCATTCCATCCCTTTGATAATGTTTGTCACTTGCCTCTGGATCCTTTCCAGTTTCTCTACATCCTTTCCATACGTTGATGACCAAAATTGGACACGTATTTCAGCAGAGGCCTAACCAGCGCTGAATAGAGCGATACTGTCATCCCCTGTGACTTGCATGTTATGCCTCTGTTAATGCCTAAAATTGCATTTGCTTTTTTTGCAGCAGCATCACCATATTGTTGACTCGGGTTGAGTTTGTGATCCACCACAACTCCCACATCCTTCTCAGCAGTGGTGCTGCCAAGCCAGTTACCCCCTATTCTGTATTTGTGCATTTGTTTTTTCTTCCCTAAATGTAGCACCTTACATTTGTCTTCACTGAATTTCGTTTTGTTGTGCATAGCCCAGTTCTCCATTTTATCACGATCCTTTTGAATTTTATCTCTGTCTTCCAAAGTGTTTGCACCCCCGCCCCCGCTTTGTGTCATTTGCCAAATACATGCCTTTCCATGGCAAGGCAGCAGTAGACACACTAATTACACTCTGGTCAGTTTCACAGTCTGGTTTTGCAAGGCTCTGGCGAAATCTCTATGTATAGGAGCAGCCCAGAAATTCTTTGCTGCTCCTGTTGGTGGAGGGTGGAACAGGAAGTAGGAGCAGATGTGAAGTAGTGAAGAAGTGCCTTTATTGCTCCCGCACATCACACTTTCCCTGTTTTGTAGCAGGAGTGAAGAATGAACTGACAATGATAATATCAAACTGCACCTACTCCTGTCAAAGCCACTGTGGAAATGCTACTTGCAACATCACGAGAACAATTTTCTTTTGTGGAATTGTACTGCAGGGGGAGTTCAGGAATATGTGGGGAGAATAACTCCAACTGGAATTTAAATTCCTATTAATTAAGTTTCCTTACTTGTGTGTAAGGAGATGTCTGGCCCACCTAAAATGGTATTTTCAGAGTTTAATCCTATGTATAGTGCTGAAAATAAACTTTAGTCCAATGGAAACAGAGTAACATTAATTACAAGTTAAGAAACATGTTTCTGTGTTGTATCCATAAGTAGCAAGTCTAGAAGAAGTCAAATATACAAATGGCATGGAACTATAGTACATTAAGTAATAAATATTCCATTCAATCATCAAACCTTGTGGAAAGTTCAGTTTAAATGAAAAAGCAATGTGCCATATATCTCCTGCACTCTCCACTGTGGATTCTGTAGAAATGAGTGTTGTAAACCTTTTTTTTCCTTTCTTTTTGTCAGGTAATATTTGAAGCTGAAGTCTCAGATGGGAGAAATGGCTACATTGCCATTGATGACATCCAGGTTCTGAGTTACCCTTGTGGTAAGTCGTGATTAAGGGCAGCATTTTTCTCTGTCTTTTCAGGATGTGCTCAATGTTGGCTCAGACTGCTGAGTTTTCATTGCTTGATCATTGCTGTTCTTTGTTCCTTCTGTAGAATTTCTATTACAGCTTACAGGAATGAATATTGGGGTGGCACAGTAGTGATTTCACTAGGTAAAAATCTTTTTGTCTAGCAGAAATAAAGCATTGCATGAAAATAAAAGTGTAACTCTTCAGTGGTTGCCTTTTTGAGTGATAGATGTGGACAGTAAAATTGAAATTTCTTCCATTAAAAGTATATATACTGATTTGTGCTAATTTTAAATTGGTTAGCGTATTTAAGTCTGAGGGCTGTTAGACAACTTAATAAAGGTATGAAACCTGAGTGAGAACTATGTATCTTCTGGTTTCCAATTATTGTAGGCCATTATGAATAGGGACAGACTGTATGCATTTAAATGTAGGTTTCACTCTTGCTCTCCTAATCCTGGAATAAATCCTAGGCCAGTGGCGCAATAGCTCAGCAAACATTGGACCAATGCACATGGGAAAAAATCATGTCTATGCAGTTCTCTGATTTGTTGCTACTTTTCTTGTTAATTCTGTCCCATTCTACTTTACCTGCCCAACCAACATGTCCCCTTCAAAAGTGCTATTTTGTTGTAGCGTATCCCTGTGGCTGATAGCTTAACTACTTTCTCCACTGATATACAAGTTTCTGAAGCCAGTGCTCACTAAGAGATGCCAAATAATAAAGATGTGATTGCAAACTCAAATTCCCTTTATGCTCTTTCCCCACCTAAAAACGACTAAGGCTAAGAGCATTGCACTCTCAGGGCTTACAGCCCTACTCAGCCTAAGGAGTTCTTGAGTCTCTTGCCTTTTTATATTTCAGCAAGGCCAGCTACAGGGACTCGCCTAAAAACAGATGCTTCAAAAAGAGCTCTGCTGGGTAAACAAGTGGTAAAAGAAAAAGGTAGTCAAATATAGTCTTGACAGCAGATTATCAACATGATACAGTATTCAAATAAACCATGTCTGCTTAGTGATGCTTATCCCATTCTCTTTTCAAATTGCTTTTTTTAAAGAAAGCATGAATGAGACTTCAGTTTAACTGGTTATGTAGGTAAAAAAGTGTGCGAGAGCTATAACGTGCATCTTTCAATTGTGACCATCAGTTTTCTTCAGCTCAATAATTCAGTTAGGTGGTTTTGCCACAGATCTTTCATTGAGTCTGTGCAGATGTATAAACTGTGTTCTATCAGCCATTGGAATGTTACCATATTTAATGGCACAGAAAACATTTGTCTTCTGAGGAGGAAAGAGCTCAAAATTACATTGCATTAGCTCTTAATACAGTATCATGAATACAACAAATTAAATCTCACTTCCCCCCAAAATTGTTTTACTTGTTGTGAGGGATTACAGTATGTCAGGTGGAATACAATGGAAATACAATGTAAGAATTTTTGTGATGTCTTTCTCACATTTTTGCATTTATTCTCCTTTGCTTTAGTTGGTAAATTATTTTATTATGACTCATGTGCAACATACAGTAGTAGAATCACTGGGGGAGAGGAGGAAAGAGCAAAAATGTTTTTTCTTGAATTAAAATGAAACAAAAATCACTTTCTTTCATATGAGATTAGTTGTAGCCAAAGGTTGTCATAATATGTATTTTTTGGGAGAAAGTAATGTATTTTTTTTTTATTAGTGAGCACTATTTGTAATTTTATTTTTTCACCTCCACAGATAAATCTCCACATTTCTTGAGGCTGGGGGATGTAGAGGTCAATGCAGGACAGAATGCTACATTTCAATGCATTGCTACAGGGAGGGATGCAGTGAATAACAAGTTATGGCTGCAGGTAAGGCTAACTCATCCAAGTCTGTTTGAATAAAGAACAAACTTATTGTTGAATATGAAATATTTTAATTCAGTGTTTTTTCTTTTTAAATCTTGGGCATGTAGAATCTTTCCTGTAAATCAAATTTGTGAATAATTTGATTACACAGAAGACCTAATCAGACTGGAAAGATACAGGAACAAATTATCAAACAATCAATTTGTAAGCACTTAGAGGATAACAGGGTGATAAGTAATAGCCAATATGGATCTCTCAAGAACAAATCTTGCCAAACCAAGCTAATTTCCTTCTTTGACAGGATTACTTCCCCACTGGAGAGCAGGGAAGCAGTAGATGATCTTGATTTTTAGTAAAACTTTTGATGCAGTCCCACAGGACATTCTCATAAGCAAACTAGGGAAATGTGGTATAGAGGAAACTACTAGTTGAAAGACCATACTCATTGTAGCTATCAGTGGGTCACTATCACACTGGGAGGATGGATCTAGTGCGATCTCTCTGGCCTCTGCCCTGCGTCCAACACCAGTCAATATTAATGACTTGGATAATGGCGTATAAAATTTGCAGGTGACCCCAAGATGGGAGGAGTTGAAGGCACTTCAGAGACAGGATTATAATTCAAAATTAGTTTGGTAGATTGGAAAATTGGTCTGAAATCAGCAAGACAAAATTCAATAAAGACAAGTGCAAAGTACTTAACTTAGGAAGGAAAATATCAAACTGGCTAGGTGGTAGTACTGCTGAAAAGGACGTGGGGGTTACAGTGGATCAGAAATTGAATGAGCCAACAATATGATGCATCTGAGAAAAAAGCAATTATTCTGGTGTGAATTAACAGGAGTATTGTATGTCAAACATAGGAGATAATTGTTCCACTCTACTTGGCACAGGTGAGGCCCCAGCTGGAGTATTGTGCATGATTCTGGGTGCCACATTTGAAGAAAGATATGGCCAAATTTGAGAGAGTCCAGAGGAGAGCAACAAAAATTATAAAAAGTTTGGAAACCCTGACCTATGAGGAAAGGTTTAAAAATGGGCATGTTTAATCTTGAGAAACGAAGATCAATGGGGATAGATGGAACCTGATAACATTCTTCAAATATGTTGAGGGCTGTTTATAAAGAGGATGGTGATCTGTTGTTCTCTGTGTCCACTGATGGTACGACAAGAAGTAATCGGCTTAATCTGCAGCAAGGATTATTTAAATTAGATGTGAGGAAAGACTTCGTAACTATAAGGATAGTTAAGCACTGAAATAGTTTACCAGGGGAGGTGACAGAATCCCTGTTGTTGGAGGTTTTTAAGAGCAGATTGGACAAACACCTGTCAGTGATGATCTAGGTATACTTGGTCCCGCCTCAGTGCGGGGGGATAGACTAGGTGATCACTTGAGGTCCTCTCCAGCTCTGTGTTTCTATTATTCTATGCTAATAACTCCAAATTTTTAAAACTTGGATTAGAAAACATAAAAAGTCGTACTAGACAAATGGTTACTATGTAAGGTAACTGTTAATGTATTCTGTCTATATGTAAATGTTTCTTTATCAAAACATGTAAGCAATGAATACCTATGGTTTGAAAGAAGAAGTTTAGTATCTAGTAAACAAAAGTGCTATATTTAGTACAGGCTTAACAGAGAGCTGTCATAACTATGATGGATGATCCTATGATAGAGAGAAATTGCAATTAATCCCTTGGGATGTGTGTGTTAAAAAGAGGGAATTTTTAACCTGACACTATGAAATTGCCATGCCTTTGCATGATAGGAGAAAGATTTGTATAAATATACAAGTATATGTTCTAAAGTAAACAATGTCTAAAATCAGAATATTGTTTGCTCCTCACAAAGCTATGAGAATTTTTTACTCAGTTTAGAAAAAGCAAGTTGTTAGGAAAGATTACGGGCATAGACAGCCTTTTCAAGAATGGTTTCTCATTGCTTGATGTAGATGAAAGTTGAAGAACTAATCAAAACTTACCCCATTATTTCAGTGTGTGTATACATTGTGCCTGGTAACAGCGAGTTTGCAGTGTGCACAATCCTTAATTATTTTGAAAAATTGAAAATTGCTCCTTCAAGCAGAACGTTTTGATATTTAAAAAATCTGAATTTCAAAAATACAGTTTTAAAATCTAGAAAGTACCAAATGTAAAGCTGTATACTTCATAGTAAGTCAGACACTGCCAAAATGAAACATAATCAATTTTTCCCAATCAGGGTCTGACTTCTAACCCAGTTGAGAAAGGAGATGACCATCTTTGGGTGTATATATAGCCAGGAGATACACCTGAAGTCCAAAATAAAGACGGAGGAAATTTTTCTTTTGGGTAGAACGTGAGAGAGACTGACTTCTAGATAAATAGGACACAGAAAATATTCCAAGAACAGATAATCGCAATGTGCTACAGTGTGAAAAATGAATACAGAACCAAAAGTGATTGCATTGCATTTCACATTAGTAAGTCAGTGTAGTAAATAGATATCATATCACCAGGAATTATTTGTTTTGCAAGTCTTTCTGCTAAGTACAAACCATTATTTAAATTGAACAAATATAAAATGTACTTATTGAGAAAGAGCAGTTCAATTTCTGAGCATTGTGTGTTTTATGTGCCCAATTTGGCAAAGTTAAATTAAATTAACCTTGATTATTTTATGACAGATAAGGTTATAACAATGAGAGTATAAAGAAACAATGTAAAGCGCCACTTTCAGCACAGATAATTGCTCAACAAGGCCTGACAGTGAGAGCCAACTGGAATTTTTCCATACCACTCTGTCCTCCAAGTAAGATAACTTTGACTGATTATCCCTTATAACTTTTCTTTTCCCTGCAAGAAAGCCAGTTAGCAGCCAAAACTGCTTTGAAAACATTTGTTCTCTCTTCACCCAGTTCATAGATTTTACTGGATAGATCACAGAAGTGGATACTTTCTTATCTTATAAAATGCTAAGAATATCCTTTCATTTGTTGACTGACATCTTGGGACTAGAAGGGTCTTTTGCCCTTCAAATAACTTTCTTTGTTAATGTTTATAAAGTGCTTTGCGACCTTGCTATAAAAATGGCTGTTTGATAGAAGTCACCTCAATTTTTCAAATGCAGAACTCTACTCGTATTTTACTTTAAACTCCACTAGTTCTGTCACCATTTCCTCATCGCCCCATATCTTCCTTTCTCATCATTCAAATCTTTGCTCTGTTTCCCCAGCACAGCCATGCTAATCATTAATTTTACCTGTCAAAATACTTTCTTCACTGTTTGGAAAACATTGCTGGTTATCAATCTTGCTGTGCATAGTTTTGAGCAAACATCAGTTTGACCCATTTTCCTTGAAACTGGTGTAAAGGTGGGATACGGACCACATGGAGTATACAAGTGTGTGACTTGGTAAAGGTCCACATATACCCTTTGTCCAAACTAGCAAACTTAGATTCTAAAGTTTCAGTACTAAGAAGAAAACCACCAACAGATCAAATCAAATGCCTAAATAATTGTTTTTGAGGGCCTGGAGCAGAAGCATTCCAGGAATGCATCTTCTCTTAGAGCAGCAAGGCCAGCTAGGGTGTGAAGAGAGATGCTTTAATAGCATGCTATGTTTAAAATAATAATATAATAATAATAATACGAACCTTTTTTGTCATAATAGTTGAATGTGAAAAGATCTTCCCTTTTGAAAATTTCGAATAAGGCATTCTACATGAGATGTAATGATATGAAATGACATTTGGGGAGACTGGGGCTGTTCATGCCAGAAATGCTCTCTGACACAAAGATCCTGTTTGGTTACATTGAAGCTATAGAGTAGTAGTTTTGCAGCCGTGGGGTTATTTAAAGAAAGTAATGACTGTCTCTTCCAGTTCTTTGGGTATTTCTAAGTGAAGGATTAAAATAAATAAAGAACTTTAAAAAGAAACAGCAGAACCCCCTCTGCCCTTTCACTCTTTCCCATCTCCTTCAGTGAAATTAGGCAAATCATTTTTATTTATTTATTTTGTGGGATGGAGCTAGTGGTACGATCAACGACAGTAGCACAAACAGTAATACTGTATTTTAGAAAGGCTTATTTTTATAACGTCAGAAATCAGAGGTGTTAGAAATTGTGCATTATGTGCATGCCACTGTATGATATTTTTTGTTGCATATGTGTATATGTATGTATATATATAATTTTAAGTGTGTACACTTGTATGAATATAAAATCATGAGTATAGGTAGTGTGTTCCAATACACCAAATCCCTTATTATATGCATATATATAATGCTGTAAGATCCAAAGGCTTTTCACAGACTCAGATTTTTGTGAGCATTACAGAAAGACGAGTAAGGACTGGTCTTGAGATGGACCTTTTTTGGATCTCACACTTTATTTTTTTTAATCAGATAGCACTTGTTTTTTCTTTTTTTCAATTTCACAGTTGCATTGGACTGAGGTTGGGAGAAACAGGATTTTGGCACTGAAAGATAAGTAATGCTGAGAACAAAAGTGCTTGGAAAGATGGCAGCTGCATTAATATAAAGCAGATAGCTATCTGACTAGATCAGTGGTGCCCCAAACTTTTCCTGTCGCACCCCCCCTACCAATAATGGAATCTGTCTGCTGCCCCCTCCATTACTGCACAGTTGGCCCCGTAGTTTGGGGACCACTGGACTAGATAAAGAGCCTTAGCTGGTTCAGTACCACATTGTGAGAATATTGAATGTTAAATATGGGGATATGAGAGAGAAACAGCTTTCAAAATTGCACCTCTTCCTTCCGCAGCAAGTGTGCAACACACAGTTATTACAGTACCATGGCTATTCTTTTTATTTACAGAAATAAATACTTTAACTTGCCCATAATTATAAACAAATACAGTAGGAGAACATCAAAGGTTTGTACATTTTTGTTTTAGTTGAGCATTCCAAAATATGGATGCTTGTGTAAAGCTTTCTCACATATATCTGAATTCTTGAGATGTTTCTTCTCTGTCCACCTTTCCCCATTTCCCTTAAGATA